ATATTGTAATTCACTTTCTTTTTCGTATTCTATCTTTTATAAAAACTCATTAAATTATATCTATAATCAACTTCTATAAACTTCAATATGTGAATTTAATGTAGTATGGTACTTTAGAAATATGCATTGATATGTCATTTTAAAATGAACATACTATCAGTATCAAATGAGCATACGCAACTTTCAAAATGTGGATAAATACGAAAATCGTAAGGTTTGTTAGTTGGACGTCGTGACATTTTCATTGAGCATCAAACCTCCTCTATTAAATATTAGAAACATGGTCTATGCTCATGTATCTGTAATTAACTCATACGTGAATCTAATGTAATATGTTACTTTTGAAATATGCATTGATATAACATTTTAAAATGAGCATATGATCAGTATCAAATGAACATACATAACTTACCAAATGAGCAATGATATGAAAATCATAAGCTTTGTTCGTTGAGAATCAAGACATTTTCATTGAACATCAAACATCGTCTATTGAGTATCTGAAGTATGCAACTGGGTATCATGATCTCTTGTCTCTTCTCACATGTATATAATCTATCTCTTATACGAATCTTATATAATGATTTTGAAATATGCGTTAATATGACATTTTAAAATGGGCATAAAATCAGTACCAGATGAACATATGTAACTTACCAAATGAGCAATGAAATATAATTTAACTTACAATGAGAAATATAATAATTTTAAATTAAAAATTATTTATAGTCTTTTGTTCTTAAATCACAAAACGCATGTCAGTAATTAACACATACTAGTAATATTTAATAAACTAACAATATTCATCTTAAAGTTAAAAATAGAAAAACAAAACATTAATACCTAAATTTTTTTACAATGCACAAATAAAAAAAAATTAAGTTATAAGGTTGCTTGGAAAAAGAAGAAAAAACAAACTCGAACATTCACAATATTTTAAATTATACATTTACATAATAATTAAATAACACATTAAAACATGTTATTGAAAAAATAAAGAAAAAGAAAGAACTAAAATAAGATAACAACGAGTGGAGTGAAAATTGAGAAGCAACTAAGAAGCTGTTCTCTTCACCTGATCTGAATGTTTCTGATCTGAATTTTTTAAGTTCTGATCTGATCTGATCTGAATTTTTCTGATCTGATATGATCTGATCTGAATCTTTCTGATCTGATCTGATCTAATCTGATCTGAATCTGTCTGATCTGATCTGAATGTTTCTGATCTGATCTGTCTGATCTGATCTGAATGTTTCTGATCTGATCTGAATGTTTCTGATCTGATCTGAATCCTTCTGATCTGATCTTAACTTTCTAAATTGGTATATAATAATAAGAATAATAACAATAACAATAACAATAATAATAATAACATCAATAATAATTATAATAGTAATAATAACTATTATTATTATTTAATAAGTATAATAAAAATAATACTCCGTAACAATAATAATAATTATAATAATAACAATAATAGTAGTAGTAGTAGTAGTAGTAGTAATAATAATAATAATAATAATAATAATAATAATAATAATAAGTAGTGATATTAATAACCTTTTTAATAATAATAAAAATATTTGATTGCACTTGAAATTGGAATATCCAAATCGTAAAGACGGATAAAGTTGTGCAGTGCGAAAGTTGATACCATAATCGCAAGTTGATATTGAATAAATGTTTGTACTTCAATTCATTCTTCTCGATCAAATGGTGACAGTATTATATATTTAGATTAGATGGATTGGTACAGAGTACTCAATTTTAGCATTTATTAAAAAATCAATACTAAAAATTACTCCGTAAAACATAACAGTAATATATAATATTATATAATAGTAATAATAACAGTAATAATAATTTCTGAACTAATCTGATCTGATCTGATCTGAATGCTTCTGATCTGATCTGAATGCTTCTGATCTGATCTGAATGCTTCTGATCTGATCTGAATGCTTCTGATCTGATCTGATCTGATCTGATCTGATCTGAATCTTTCTGATCTGATCTGATCTGATCTGAATAAAATAAGAATAAGGAATAAGTAATAAGATTATGAACGGCTTCTAAGAAGTGAAAAGCAACAAAAGAAAGTGAAAAGCAACAAAAGAAAGTGAAAAAATAAACAAAAAACGAAAAAGGAGCAAAGCCAACCAATGGTAGTGGCGATGGAAACAGAAAAGCAGCAACAAGTATTAACCTGATTTTTAGCCTTTACATTGGATCTAATTACAAAAATGCCGACTGTACCATGAGGATGGTACCTTATATTTTACGAATTAATTCTTAAAAAAAATTACTAGAATAAATGAAAAATTATTAATGGTGTATAGTTTGAATTTAACTTTATAGTGAATGGGCATTCAATAATCTAGATTTTATTGGGTAAAATTTGTTAAAATATTTGTCCCACACGAGAAAACTATAAAACAATAAAACATCATATAAGACTTTGGGCTACTCCTCATATCAGATCGACCTTTTAGGATGGAACCCCAGATTTTTAAGATGATGTCAGAGCCAATTTCGAGCTAAGGGGGCATGTTAAAGTAGTTTTCCACAACGTGTGGAGTTGTTAAGGGGGCATATGTTAAATGTAAATATAATTACACAAATAAGCGTAAAACTTAAATCTTTCATAAGCAAGACTAAATATTAATTGTCTACCCTTAATACCACTAATTAATCTAATCAATGAATTGCCCCACTTAGTTTCCTTGCATAACTGGGGAAGTCTGTTGGTGATGAGACATTCTAGTGACTAGGGAATGACAAAAAGACGGGGGTTTTGAACAAGCGATGCAAAAAGACGGGGGTACTAAAACACGGGATTTGGAATAGACAATTCCGAATGAATTAGGGTGCCCGACATTTTGATTCGGAACTTCCTATTCCGAATGAGAGCTGATTTTTTTTTAAAATGCCACTTCCAATCGGGAAGTTGGAAATCCAAATGAATAAAAAGCCAACCCCACTAATTCGGACATCACATTTGGGAAATTGGGTCCAATTTATTTATTAATTAAAAATAGGTTTATATCAATTTAAGTTGTATGACTAAAATAAAAATTAAAATTAAAGTAGCATTTGGAACTGTATGATCCCAATAGGATAACAAAAAATTAAAGAAAGTTGATTTGGAAAAGCATCTTCCGAATGGATTAACAAAAGTAAAAAAAATGTTTCGGAACATGTGTTTCCGAATGGACATAGTTAACCCTAATCTATTTGGAAGATGTGTTTCCGAATTTCGTATTCTTAGAAATCCCATATTTTTTCTCGTGTTTTTGCTTTCCATATTCACTTTTCCGGTGTTTTAAGAAAAGACCCTCTAGTGACGGTGGTTGAGCTCTAGCGAGGTGCTACGGCCAAACTGGCGGCATATCTTTTCTAAAAATTTCTTACGGGCAAAGGTGGCAGCGGCCAGTGGCGGCACCCAGTACCTGGCAGATCTGCATAAGGGAGTAGTGCAATCCCTACTCTTCACGAGACATCACTTCTGCTCTATTAACCATTACTTCGCAATTAATTACTGCTATTGTTAAATCACCCCGTCTTTTAAAATGTGAACCTCAACATCTGATCTATTTGTTGTTGCATCAATATATATGGCGTATATACAATACATTTAGAAATGGAATACATTTAGAAAGGGGTAATTAATTGAGTTTGCATCTCATTTTCTTATTGAAATTGGACTTTGCATCCCATTTTTTAAAAATTTTGTATTTCCACCCCAACCCCGTATGAAAAGATAAAAACGCGCCTCTATTAAGAATGTTTTTTTCCTTCTACATATTCCTGATCGAGGGGTGTTTTTGTCTATTCATACAGGTTTGAGGTGCAAATACAAAGTTTTTTAAAAATGGACTGCAAAATCTAATTTGGACAATAAAATACAGTGCAAACTCAAATTACACCATTTAGAAATCAATCAAAATCTGCTACGAATCACATCATGCCATCGACAATAGTTTAACCGCATTTGGACGTCGTGATGCCTTTTAAGTTTTACAGTATTTTATACTTATACTCCATCTGTATATATGTATATGCATTATGTGTGTGCAATGTGTATATACATATTAAATTTTACATGAGATATTAACCCTAAATAGAACTAAATTATGATCAAAATTCCCAAATGGGAGTTAATGTTTTATTTTTTCTAAACATGACTCCTTATTATCAATTTATCCCTACTATAATAAAACCCCATTGTCCATTTTCTATTCGATCGGCATCTTCCACATCCAATCGCACACAAACTCCTCTCCCAGTAAGGTCCATCTTCTGATATGCGCACCTTACTCCGGCAAGTTGTGTCTCGAGCTAATTTCTCCTCCTTCTCCTTCTTCTTCTTCCCTCTTCCTCCTCCTCCTCCTCCTCCTTTAATTTCTGCTCCTCTTCCATTTATTATGTAGTATTATTTTATGTTAATTATTTCAAATATTTTGTCGATTTTCAATGGAAATTTTATCTTTGATCTAAAAAATTTGAATTCGAAACCTTTGCGTATGAAAAGTGGAGGCTCTTGTTCAAAAAATTGCGATCTAAATTTTATTATTGTGTATATATCTTTATCAACTCATAAACATGTCACATTTATGGCAATTTTTATGGAGATAGAAATATTACATCTTTGAAAATACAAATTTTTACAATTTCACATTTTATGACATCGAATTGAATTCATCGGCAACACTACTTCTTTATTTATCTTCTCCTATTTCATATTTTCGGCTCCATAATTTGTAATCTTAAAATTTCATGTTTTGCATGTAGAAATGTGAAAATGCCACTTTCCTAAATATTACTTTGGAATTATTGCGAAGAAAGTCATGTTTATATTTTCAATGACTACAAAGGCGACACATGATTCTAGTCATTGTTTGAGGAAATTAAAGGTTGAAATGAAATTAAAGGGTTTTCATTTTAAGAGAGGTTTGGGTAGTGCATAAATTTAATATTGAATTGAATTTGTAAGTAAACTAGAAATTAAAGGGTTTTCAATTAAAGCATTTGGTGACATAAAGTCCATGCATTACTAGTCTGGAAGAAGATTACTTCAACATCATAACGTCCATATCCTATTTTACCATTCTCGTGATCAACCCAATACCAAAAACATTCTTCTCCCAAGTTTCTAACCTCGGGACAACAACTAGGAAAAGGATCTTTAGGCGGAAAAACACGCCCTTCATTTCCATCATCTTGAATATATTGAACCATGAGCTTCCAGCATTCATCAGTTGGTTCTGGTTTTGAACATTGAAGAACATCAGAGCATGACGAGAGCCTCGTTTTCCCTGATAATAGCAGTCCTAGCAATAAAACCCAAGAGATGTTCAGGCTTGGCATTTTCATTTCTCTTGCCATGGGCAATGATGGAAATAAATTAATAAAATAAAATAAGAAATGAAGTTACTTCGATGTCTTCACTTTCGCATAAATAAAGTTGCTAAATTCTGCTATAAATAGATCGAGTTTATGCATGTAAGCCTATTAAAGTTTAAGTTACAACTAAATAAAAATGGTTGTTACAACCAGTGTTAATGAACTAGATCAGGGATGACGAATTCATGCATTACTATTCTAATAGATGTTAATTCTGATCAACTCCTTAACGGTAGAACGGTGGTAATTAATTAACACGATGTACGTATATGTGTGTAAATTAAATAAAAAAAATCAAGTGCTTACTTTTTCCTTTTTCCATCCAAATGGTAAATGTCAAATTCGTTTCCAATATCATATCCCTAGCATGCAGTTCATAATGTTGGAAAGTTATTTAATATTTCAAATAGACAAAATCAATTTTTACTGTAATAATTAATACAAAGTATAATATTTGAATATTTAGTCCAGATAAACACTTTGAACTTGTGGCATCCGGATTTAATGGACGCAAAGCCGGCACATACCTGTGCGATTTGCTTCGTGACTCTCTTTGTGGTTGCCGTGGATTTGCTGCCGGTTTTCTGTTCCTTCTCCCAGCCAGCAATTTCTTCCAACAAACGTTCTCCTGCGGTATAGTGGCATCCAAATGGAAAAATGTGGTACTCACATCGGGTGAACTTTATCACTAAATGACGTGTTTGTGGTAGAGATTCGGACTAACATAGTTTCCTTTCTCTCTTGAAAAAACAAAGTTGGGATCAAAGTACGGATGTTTTGGTTGTGACAAAATGGTTATGACCAAAAATGATGTCTTTGTTGACAAAGGCTATTTGAAGAATGGATTTTATCTACTTGCTGGTCTTTCTAAATTAATGACATGTGTTGGAATGTTCAATTGATAGATGTTCTAATTAGGTGTGTTACGTACGTTACTAAATACTAAATAGTAATCTCAATTGCTATTATTTCATCATTTAATAATCCTTACAGAATCATATTCATTGTTGTGTTCGTCTCTCTAATACTATTTGCCGGCCTTTTCCTTAGCAAATGTGATGGTACTTAACTTAATTAAAAGCTCCCACTATATTTAACTACCTAAAAATGTTTCTTAATAATCACCCTCTTCATTTTTTTATAATATTAACTATCTGATCTTGATCTCATTTTTATCATCTACCTATGTACTGTTATTATTTCTTTCAAGAAATTACGAGCTTCTCGAATGCCACTAAGGCACTAACGTAACACCTAATTAATTTAATTTTTTTTCAGGCAATGATGACTACTCTGTTAACTCTCTGATCTTGTTTACTTACTAGTTACTACTAGTGAGTAGTACACTACTACTATCATAATTATTTTTATTAAATTACTACGTACAGTTATTATTAACGCAGCTATTGAAACTATCAAACTAATGATTTTTTTTTTAGTTTGCTTGATGGGAAGACCTGCATCGTACTACTTTGACAATGGGTTCAGTAGTGGAATGGGTAATTGGCTGGTGTATCTTCAGGTTAGTATAATCACACACATTCATAGTTTCATATATATTCTAGTTATGTACATGTTCTAGTTATAAGTGCATTTAATTATTACTCCGTAATAAATAATCATATATTTATGAATCATTTGAATTATTTACATGGAATAAGGGTGGAGCATGGTGCAACAATGACCGGGAAAATATGGAAAATCAAATACTTTATTTGGGAAAATTCTCGAAATAGGACAAAAAATATTGTCATGTTTAAAGTCTGGTATTACCAAAACATGAAAGTAAGAACTATTTCGAGAATAAAAACACGCAGTCCTATTTTGTGATTCCATAACGGTTTAGTCTTAGTTTGGACAATTTCTCTTTTTACTACTATGAAACTTTGAACTCCTTATTTTCACTTTTGTATTGTTTTACTTCTTTGTACTTTAGAAAATTAACTCTAAATAATACGTAGTACTTCGTATTCCATATTTGTAAATTAAATCTACCCATCCTTGTTTTCGGCAAACCATGTGCTTTGAGCATGATCATAATGCAATAACCGTATATTGTTCCATAACTTTCTTTATTAGGGTTAAACACCATTCTCATGCATATCATTCCTTTTGTTTGTTTCTTTCCTATACAGTGATAACATATTAATTCATATACTATTTAATACGAAGTACACATTAAATTCATGAACTAACTAATTGTTTTATTTTTCAAAATATTGTTGGGATCTAGCTTCCTGAAGAGATTAATAACTATGTATAAGGTTTTTCATATACTTCCATGAGATGTTTACAGCATATATATAGATACAAATCTCGAAGGAATAAAATTTACATTTTTACAAATGATAAAACTCGTGCATACATTTACAACATGCATTATTAATATATAATATTAAAAATAATATTTGTTACCACTTATGTGATCGATATTTGTCACTTCCTACTCTGATGGTCTAGAAGCTCTTTATAATTACATAAATTGTAATGATTTATAAGTGAGGATCCCATAAAATATGAATCAACAATGAATTGAAATACTAAGAAGTCAACAACAAATTGAACATAAGGATAAGTACAGACAATCCGTAGTTGAACACTGAAGATGACGCTTTATCATCAGCTTTATTGTCATTTTGAACTAAGTTTGAGGAGCAATTGTAGGGACATGTGAATTTGTCTACTACTTGAACACTTCTCCGATCAAAATACGAATCTCCAAACAATTTTGATATTGTCTGCAAATGATGCATGGAATAGTGACATGGTCGTAGATGGGAGTAATGAGGAACTACATATATATATATATATATATATATATATATATATATATATATATATACTCTGTACAATAATTTCACCGCTATTTTAATGTTGTTTTGATTCTTCCATTTTATCAAATCAAAGGCAAGGATTAGTTCATATGTTAAGAAACACTTAATTTGAATCAAAATGTTTATATATGTATATACGTAATACATACATGGATTATGGATACTTTTTTGTTTAATAATATACCAATTAAGGACTGAATAATGTGATTAATTCTAGATCTTTAATTGCAGACAATTTCAAAATTGTTTGGAGATTCGTATTTTGATCAGAGAAGTGTTCAAGTAGTAGACAAATACCCATGTCCCTACCATTGCTCCTCAAACTTAGTTCAAAATGACAATAAAGCTGATGATAAAGCATCGTCTTCAGTGTTTAATTAACTACGGATTGTCTGTACTTATCCTTATGTTCAATTTGTTGTTAGCTTCTTAGTATTTCATTGTTGATTCATATTTTATGGGATCCTCACTTATGAATCATTACAATTTATGAAATTATAATGAGCTTCTAGACCGTTAGAGTAGGTCAGTAGGAAGTGACAGATATCGATCATATAAGTGGTAGCGAATATTATTTTTAATATTATATATTAATAATGCATGTTGTTAACGTATGCACGAGTTTTATCATTTGTAAAAGTGTAAAATTTTATTCCTTCGAGATTTGTATATATATATATATATATATATATATATATATATATATATATATATATATATATAGGGAAGAGTTCAAATGAAAAGTGGTCTTCCCGTGTAAAGTGCAAAATTTTCACTTTTTCATGTTTCGCTTGCATTTTTTCTTGTTTGTGTTGCACTTTTTGGCCATTTTGATTTTGGCCAAATTCGGCCAAAATGACGGTGGCAATTTTGTAAATAAACCCATTTTTTGAGCTGCCGCGAAAAAGTGCAACGACAGCAAGAAAAAGTGCAAGCAAATCATGAAAAAGTGAAAACTTTGCACTTTACACGGGAAGACCACTTTTTATTTTAATCATCCCCTATATATATATATATATATATATATATATATATATATATATATATATATATATATATATATATGTTGTAAACATCTCATGGAAGTATATGAAAAAACTTATACATAATTATTTATCTCTTCAAGAAGCTAGATCTCAAAAATATTTTGGAAAATAAAACAATTAGTCAGTTCGTGAATTTAATCTGTACTTCGTATTAAATAGTATATGAATTATTATGTTATCACTGTATAGGAAAGGAACAAACAAAAGGAATGATATGCATGAGAACGGTGTTTAACCCTAATAAAGAAATTTATGGAACAACATACGGTTATTGCATTATGATCATGCTCAAAGCACATGGCATGCCGAAAACAAGGATGTGTAGATTTAATTTACGAATATGGAATACAAAGTACTACGTATTATTTAGAGTTACTTTTCCAAAGTACAAAGAAGCAAAACAATATAAAAGTGCAAGTAAGGAGTTCAAAGTTTCATAGTAGTAAAAAGAGAAATTGTTCAAACTAAGACTAAAACGTTATGGAATCACAAAATAGGACTGCATGTTTTTATTCTCCAAATAGGAGTTCTTACTTTCATGTTTTGGTAATACCAGACTTTAAACGTGACAATATTTTTCAAACTTGACAATAATTATACCTATCTAGATAACAAAAATTTAACAATCCTATTTTAAAATTTTAATTTTTTTTCCCTATTTCGAGAATTTTCCCAAATAAAATACACGATTTTCCATAATTTTCCTACGGAATAAAATTTTCCATAATTTTCCCGGTTAATGGTGCACCATGCTCCTACCTTATTCCATGTTAATAAGTTAAATGATTCATAAAGCAATGGTTATTTATTGCGGAGTAATAATTCAATGCACTTATAACTAGAACATGTACATGACTTTTTCTTTATTGTGGCCATCTATGAAACTATGAATGTCTGTAATTATACTAACGTGAAGATGCACCAACCAATTACCCATTTCACTGCTGAATCCATTGTCAAAGTAGTACGATGCAGGTTTTCCCGTCAAGCAAACTTAAACAAAAAAATCATCAGTTTGATAGTTTTAATAGCTGCGTTAATAATAACTGTAGTAATTTAATAAAATTAATTATAATAGTAGTAGTATATTACTCAGTAGTAAGTAAGTAAACAAGATCAGAGAGTTAACCGAGTAGTCATCATTGCCTGAAAAAAATTAAATTAATTAGGTATTACGTTAGTGCCTTAGTGGCATTCAAGAAGCTCATAATTTCTTGAAACAAACAATAACAGTACGTAGGTAGATGATAAAAATGGGATCAAGATAAGATAGTTAATATTTTCAAAAAAATGAAGAGGGTAATTATCAAAAACATATTTATTTAGGTAGTTAGATATAGTGGGAGCTTTTAAATTAAGTTACGTACCGTCACATTTGATGAAGAAAAGGCCGGCAAATAGTATTAGAGAGATGGACACAACCAGCCATCTCCATTTGTTAAATCTTCGATCTTATGAGATATAAGAAAACTAGATAGAAGGATGAGGTAGCTAGGATATCGATGCGAGCTGACCTGAGTAGAAACTAGCAAAGGTTTATATATCCAATTCAATGCTAGCTTTCTTTAGTGGATCGAGGACAACTTAATTAAGACTCTATTGATGTGTTCTTAGAGTGGGGTTAAAGTACGTACGTAGGAAAATAAGAATTACACAAATATGCACAATATGGTCATATGGATGGGCATGTTGGCTTACCTTTAAAATGAAAGTGATGGTGTATATATATATATATAGAATTAGGTTCAAGTGAGAAAATGATCTTAGGAGAGAAATTAGAATGAATCTGAACCGTTAGATTATAATTTGTGAAATTGAATATGCATTAAGTGAAACTGAAATGTGCATTAGGTGAAATCAAAATGTGCACCACAAAAAGTAAGTCACAATGATATTATGTGAAGCTGAATTGTGCATAATAAAAACTACAATGCGGTGACATTTTTGTGCCTTTTATTCTGCACATTTCAATTTCACATAATGCACATTTGAGTTTAACTTTTCATTCTGCACATTGCAATTTCACTTGATGCACATTTCAGTTTTACCATATGCACAATTCAATTTTACATAATACAATCAGATGGTCCAGATTCATTCTCATTTCTCTCCTAAAAGTCCTTTCTCACTGGAACCACTCCATATATATATATATATATATATATATATATATATATATATATATATATATATATATATATATATATATATATATATATATATATATATATATATATATATATATATATATATATATATATATATATATATATATATATATGGGAAGGTTCAAATACAAAGAAGTCTTCCCATGCAAAGTGAGAATTAATCTCGTGCATTCATTTCCAGATCTAATGGCTCAAAATGAGCCAAAAGTGAACTAAATTTGATCAAAAACGTGGTGACAATTTCGTAATTAAAACGAAGTTTTTCGCCACCCGCGAAAAAGTGCAACAGAAACACGCAAAAGTGCAACGCGGTGAGGGAAAAGTGCAACTGTTGCACTTTTCCCTCACCGCGTTGCACTTTTGCGTGTTTCTGTTGCACTTTTTCGCGGGTGGCGAAAAACTTCGTTTTAATTACGAAATTGTCACCACGTTTTTGATCAAATTTAGTTCACTTTTGGCTCATTTTGAGTCATTAGATCTGGAAATGAATGCACGAGATTAATTCTCATACGTATATATATATGTGAAGACTCTTTGTATTTGAACCCTCATACATATATATATATGACGTTTGATTTCATTAAATGCACCTACATGATATGCTCTGTCCAATTTCACATATATAGTGCGTATGCGACATTAAATTAAATTCATATGAAGAGAAAGTAGGGGAAATTATTGACTTTCTTACGGTAATGGTATGATCATTGATCACAGTCCTCAAACGAAACAATAACTGAAAAGTGAAAACTTATTTTACTAAATGTCGAATTTAGCAATAGCGCGTGAATCTCTGACTGTGTTTATTTTAATGTAACTAGAACTCAAAGATAATTTAGAAATTGCATTCAATAGAACAAAAATTAAACATAAGTGTGCAAATAGGACGTAAAATAATAAAATTATTAAATCTAAATAAAGAAAAATATAAACTATAAATAATTTCCTAAGTGAAAGAGAAGAGAATTAATTTTGACAGAAGCAATGTGCATTAATGTCATGCAGTAATAGTAATATAAAGTGAATTAATTTTAATTGGATGAAATTAGTACAAAATGCACATATTTTAAATAAGAGTATTTTCGTCATTCAACATTTAAATATAAATGATTTTTTTTCTTTTGAGTCAAACAAATGTCTAAAACTAAGTTAGTTATATTTAGGGAAACTCAATGAGTTTTAGTCGTGAAAAATTTCCAAAGAAATCTAAACGAACACCACCGTAAACATACTTTGTAATATCCGTATAGCATTTAAATCATTAGTACACATATGTAAATATAATTTAACGAGTGCTTATACGGTGGGATCGGTGCACGGTGAGCACCATGCACCCTTTGTTATTTTCTATTTCTCCTTTTCTTAAAATTGTTAATAATTTTTTTATTTTTGATCTGAATTTTATAAAAATTATATCAAAATTTTTTATTTTTCATGATCTTTCAAATGAGACCAATATTGCCTATGTAATTTTAATTTTTTACATTCATACATTTATTGTAATATATTTTTATATGCATACACTTTTTCTATAATATATTTTTTTATCACTTTTATATGATTTTAGAGGTTTTTAAGATATTGAGTTTATTTATTTTGCTTCTAGCTTGGAGTTACATTTGATAATATACGAAGTTACATCATTTTATGCTCCAGTTACAAGTTATTATGTGTGAGTTACATCTTCTTATGTGTGAGTTACATCTTGCTATACACGAGTTACATACTTTTATGCGAGAGTTACATGTAATTATGTGTGAGTTACATCTTGTTATACACGAGTTACATACATTTATGCGCGGGTTATATGTAATTATGGGTGAGTTATATCTAATTATTTGTGATTTTTTTACTTATCTTTATCTTGAACTAATTCAATTATAACTGAATTAATTTTTTTCTTTGCCAATTTAATACAAAATTTTATTAATCCACATAAAATAAGTATATTGTATTTCATATTCATACACTATTTTTCAAATGATAAAAATGAAAGATGTAGCAGAGGTTTATTTCATGGTGTAACTCACATACATTAAGATGTAACTCGTGTATATTAAGATGTAATTCGCGTACAATAAGATGTAACTCACGCAGAAGAAGATGTAACTTCATGATATATTATCAAATGTAACTTAAAAATAATTTGTTAAAATTAGATAAGCAATACTGGTCTCATTTGATAGATCATGAAAAATAAAAAAAATTGATATAAAATTTATAGAAATCGAATATCAAATAAAAAAGTTATTACAATTTTTAACAATAAAAAAACTAAAAAAAAAAACCGAATGCTACGTCGTTTAGGGATCGGGCGCACCATCCTCATGGTGCGCCGATCCCAGGATATAAACCGCGTAATTTAACTTATCATGTATACGATTGATTGAAAATCGCTTCATAATATTTACCATAATTCGACTCCTATTTACTTATGCATCCTTAACATTTTAATGATGCAATTTATAAGATACTCAGTAAATAATAATTTCGAATCAACTTTAAACTAATAAAACAATTGAACTTAAAAGGCTTACACACACGTGTGTGTTTGAATTTTTCATACAATTTAGAATGTTTTTACTTGGATTGTTTTCAATCTCAAACCAGACTAGACCAGATTTAAACATGCTACATCAGACGAGACCATACTTAAAAAGATCAAACCAGACAAGACCAGATTTTACTTCCGTAGTTATAAAACACACATAGACCAGACATTTACCAAACCAGACCAGATCATTTTAGACCAATCCAGGCTTAAACAGACCTTATTAGACCAGACTTAAACAGATCAGAAAAGACCATACCAGTAAATAACATTCCAAGTAAACACATCCTTACATTACTTATTTTCAAGTTTACTTAATTATAACGTTAATTATAAAGTCACGATGGTTGCTCATTAACGATAAATCGATAACATGTACCACAATAGATGTCACATTGATAAGTATTTTTGTTATCAAATACTCCCTCCGGTCCTAAATAAACTTCACACTTTCCTTTTTGGGTATGTCCAAAATAAACTTCACACTTCTTCTCCCTTCCTTATTTGGCAAATTATCTACATCAAAACAGTGCAAAACAGTGCCAAACAGTGTCAAACAGTCTCACAACAGTGTACTCTACAGTAAAGTCAAATTTATTTCCTTAATTTGTGTGAAGTAAAAGTGTGAAGTTTATTTATGACCGCATGGAGTACTTGTATGCTCCAAGCGTCCACATCATCAAACCCTAATATTGTTATAGCATAGTCCCTCCAATGGAGAAAATTGCTCCGTATAGGATCAATTCATACCAATTTTACATAAAGAGGACCCAGAATAGTTTCTTCCATACGTGCCACTTATTTAGTTCTATTTAAGTAAACTTAATTTTACATTCCCTCTTTAGCTATTTATTAAATTTCCCCCAAATTAAAGACCCAGCAATAACACTCCACTGCTGCCGCAGCACATCAACAGCTCATCCGCCACCGCCACATATCTTCGTCTCATCCGCTGCCGCCTTCGCACATCGGCGTCTCAGTCACCTCCGCGTCACTCCGGCATCTCAGCCGCCGCCGCCGCACATCGGCGTCTCAGTTTCCGCCGCCGCCGTCTCTATTGTCGCACTCTAGCATCTCCACGCCATCACCACACTCCAGCATCTCCACCTTCGCCGCCACCCCCACTCCGACATATCTGTCTCCGCCGCCGCCGCACTCGAGCATATCTGTCGCCGAATTTATTGTTCATACGTTGAAGTTCTTGGCTGAATTTTGAAAATTATCCAAAATAGTGATTGCTTTCCAGAATTTATTGTTTATTTATTGTCTACTTATTGTCTATTTAATGCCTATTATTTTCTAAAAGTAAGGGTATTGTGGTCAATTCAGGTGTAGTTGAGTCTTACGCTGATCTTGGGTCTTAGTTTTGGAAAATCACTATGTTTTGCTCCTAATTGTTGAAATCTCCCCCTCGAATGCTAATAGTGCAATATCACAAACCTTGATTCATTGGGGGGGGGGGGGGATTATAAAACTCTATATTTTTTTTGAAACAATAAAACTTAAAAGCATGTATGATTATATTTGTGTTGGGCTATTAAGACCAGTAAGGGCCGGGGGCCACCCAAATAGCACCACGAGCCCAAACAGCATGGTGCGAGGAAAATTGCTCGGGTTGTAGCCTGTAGGCCGTATAGGCCGGGGTATTACAATTAAATAATTTTCAAAGCCTAGGTATAAAAATAAATAACAAAATTATCCCAGATCTGGTTCATCAAAACTAGTTGAAACAGCAATATTTATTAGTCCTAACGTAACATAAACATTATAATAATGATATATATGCATGCTTACATAAACTCGCGGAAATTAACAATTTGTATGTATGTTCATGCCAAGAGAAATAAAAATGTCAAGATTGAGCATCTCATTTGTTTTATTATTAGGAATTCTTTTATCGGGGAAATTGAGATTCTCACTATGCGATGCAACGCTTAAATGTTCAAAACCGGAACCGAATGACAAGTGTTGGAAGCTCCTAATTCAATACGTTCAAGCAGACAGAAATGATGGGCGTGTTCCACCGCCCACCAGTCCCTTTCCGGACTGTTGCCCGGATGTTAGAAATTTGGGAGAAGAATGCTTTTGGTATTGGGTGGATCACGAGAATGGCAAATTGGGATATCATAACTATGATGTGGAAGTCGTCTATTTCCGGACTATTGATGCCTGGAGTTCTTGTCAAGAAATGCCAAGTCTCACAAATGTATGAAATATCAAATTGAAATAGTAATATATAATGCCGGTTTATCTCTATAATGAACAATCTTAACTATAGATCCTATTGCATGGTTTGAAAGATTGCGGTGGGGAGAAATTAAAGAAAGTCGCAAATTAAATTCTTAAAAGGAAGAGCGACTACGTTATTTGGACAATCAATAACGACGAGATGACAAAGTTATAATTTATAGAATTCAAGTTAGAATTTTATTTGTGAAAAGGAATGGAGTCTTTACTTGTGTGTAGAGTTTGGGTAGGGATAGAATCGGGCGGATAACATATTAAACTTGTTCAATCTTCAGATGAAAATAGTATAATATGAAATATAATGTTGTTGAAATTAAAAGCTCTCATGACTCTCATCCTAAAAGGCAAAGAGTATTGCATAAACTTATAGGGATATTTCTAGATTTAGGACCTTTTGGTAACAGCTGCATTGGCTGGAATGGTTGAAAAACCTGAAAAGATTAAAGTGAAAATGTTTGGTAATATATTGGCTGGAATGGTTGATTGTGTGTAAAATTACTATAAAGGGTATTAGCTTATTTGTGTTAAATATATGGGTGTGAATTTTACTAATAAACTACTTTTGCATGATTTGCTAATTATATTCCTATTTAAATAATTGATTACTTTGGAAATTTCATTCTTACTCTTTCGTTCTTATTCACGAAATATATAACCAAATAGCAGTTTATAACCAAACAACAGTTCTTCTCATAGTTTTCAGCCTGGAATGCTAACAATTGAAGATGAAGATGCATATGGAATGCTAATAGTTTTCAGTAGTTGCACACCTTACCTTTAATTTAGATGAAAATGGAGAAGCGTTCAAGAGGTCTCCGATATGGAATGTCGAAGCTATGGAGCAGGCGAGCCGGAAGTCATCGATCTAGAACTCTGGAATCGCAGCTACTGGAGACGTAACTCTGAAGGCAACGAAGCAACGATTAGGCATCTAGTCGTAAAATAAAGGGTCAAAAGAGTATTTTCACAGCTCAACGGTAATAGGAAGATTTCGCAGCTCAAAAGATAACATGGGCGTTACTTTTTAGGCTGATAAGATAATTCAGCCCAAGTAGCCCAAAAGCCTTGTGTTTGACCGTATTTTCTTATTTTCAGGCTTATAAGCCTATTTTTGGGTCACCAAACACCCTCTTAATCCTGCAACTTTTTTACTGTGTCCGTTATTGGTCTTATCTATAAATTTATTAACTTCCGGATTAAGTCTAGTAAATAAAAACTTGTCACATTAATGAATTTTAAAGTACACTTTGGGGTGTAAATTTGACGTTGGAGACATTTTTTTCAGCATATTTTTTTCCGTCACTATTTATTAGAAATTCACATTAGAATGATTAAGATTATTTATTAATTACAAGTGCTAATGTATAATAAAAACATATTTGTGGTAGAACAAAACGGCATGCATTTTTTGTAAATGCTGTTTATGGATCGTCTTCCTTTATTTTTTGAGAGGCGTATTCTCTTTCTTAATAATAATAAAGAAATCAAAGTAAATAAATTTCTTTATTTTATGCAATATCATTAACATTATTAATAAGAAAACGCCTCATTTTGATTTACACCTTGATATGTATTTGTACCACTGACTCGGGTAAATGGTCAGCCAATTATTGTTGGGATTGGAAAATTCTTCAATTCAATATCAATAACAGAATTACAATAGGAGGAGCAAACTCTCACACTCAACTATTACAAAAAACCAATCCTCACCAATACACTTCTACTCTAAGTGTATTTCACTCTTCACACACTTTTCTCACTTTCTAAAACTGATGATATGAACAACAATAGAACACTCTATTTATAGGCTAGTTTGGAGACAAGAGAAAGTTGCATCCAATCTTCTCCCATGTTTATTTGTTGGAGAGGTCCTTCCAAGAAGGTGTGAGATGCTTCTTGGCAACTTCCAAGACAGAAGCTGGAAGATCCCTACAATTATGACCCTGCTCTGAAACCATGTTCAATGTCTACGAGTGAGTGACGATGAGTAGAAAACAAAAGAAAATGTACAATGAATGATTTTTTTGTGAGATTAAAGAAGAGGAACAAATAAAAAATGAATATCTATATTAATTAGTTAAGAGACTACGTACAACAACAACTCATGACTCTAAAATTCCATATAAATCATGGAATACGCCTAAACTTTTATAGGTTTTTTATAGGTTAGCTTTTATATTGCTTGAACTTATAAGTACCCGTTACTCCCAGCCCATTCCATCTCTTTTTCTATTCCAAGCAATTCCTTTTGTCTGAGCCTTCTGTACACATTTGTGTGAGCTGCTTCTGTTCAGGGGTGTTGGTAACTTAATTAGTGGGGAGAGGTTGTCACAGGAGAGAGGTCTCACGTTCAATTCCACACAAAGATCTGAGTCGGAATACCATTTTCTCTATCGGTCTATGATCAATGTTCAATCTATATCCTACTTGTATTAAATACTGTAACTTCCAATTAATTCTGCGTGGATGATGTAACATTCTTAGCTTTTTGTGTGAGCTCCATCTTCGAGAGGAATAGGTATTAAAGGAGGTTAGGGCCTGGATTGGGTAGTCATTGCTCATTCCCTTTGTTCGTGGTAATGCAAAACCAAGACTTGTAACCTATTTTCACTTTTTCACACAAAGTTAAGCACAAAATGGAGAAGCGGGGCACCAATACTCAACGCATTCTTTCATTCATATATATATTTATGTATTAAACTTTTTGTTAAGAAACCACGATATTGTTGAGTTTAGTCCAACATAAACTACTAGATTTAGATATAATATGTATGAAATGCTCTATTTTTACGTGGAAATCCGGAAAGGGAGAAACCCACGGGACTTTTTAGGCTAACGTCCAAGCCCGCTCTTTCTCATTAATACCCTCCTCACCATTTACGAAGTACAAGTTTTGGAGCTCCCATTAATGGAGCTTGAGCATATTTCTAAAGAAGAAGAAGAAGTAGTTGCAGGGAGGAGCGAAGAAGTCATCCCTGTAAGGAAGATACCTCCTCCTATTTATAGGAAGGAGGGAAAGCCATTCCATGCTAATGGGCTTAAAAGACCTTGTTGGGCCTAATTCCTATCCTAGCGGGCCGGTTGGGCTGAAACGGGGCGGGTAGGCCTAAATGGGTCTCGCTGACTGGGCTTCATATCGGGATGATGCCTTGCGCCTCTGAACAGTAGTAGGCCGGGATAATATTCACCAACAGTGTGTGTCAGTGTGTATATAAAATGGAGTATTTTACTCCGTAATTAACACTACGTAATTGAATAGTAAGGTTGTTCAATAATAGAGGAATTTTAAAAATGCTATAAATTACTTAATTTACTAATTCCACTTAATTCATCAGAAAAATATCTTAATAGACCTCACTTAAAATGTTTTTAATTGGATTAAAATTTTCTGGTCTGATCTGATCGGTCTGGTCTATTTAAGTCTGGTCTGGTAGCGGATATACGATCTCTATGTATTTTATAATTGTTGAAAATGGTATAGCCTAGTTTAAATAACCGCTGAAATAATACTAAGAATAAAAATATTACTTCCCCCGTTCCGCTAAGATTGTACCATATTACCTTTTTTGTCTTGCACCACTAAGATTGTCCCATACCGAATTTGGTAAAGTTTGTGTGGTTCTAAATCATTCTTACTTTATTCTTACTTTATCAATTCAATATCAGCCACATAAATGACTTTTTAATGGTTTGTGTGTCACTCTGTCTTGTCCCACTGTTAGTGGGACGGAGGGAGTATTATATATCAACCATTCTTGATGGTAATTGACGAGCACTTTGTCACGATGCGTCAAAATAATTTTAAATACTAACACTTATATGTAGTTTAGCGTAGTAGAGTTCGCATCCACAGGGAAAGGAATAATTCTCTTTTTATGAAACTTAGTAAATAAAGGGGGGGTTTTGTGATGAATGATTTAATTAAATTAAAAACTAAGATGAACGACCTATATGAGATTTAATTCAAAGATAAAAAAGACTTGACATTGCTACTTTCCACTTGTTGATATATTTTAGTCGATTATTGTTATATCTATAACTTATTCCCTCTCGAATACTCAATCGGGGAGTATATCCACTTCATCGAGGGTAGTTATTAACAACAACCGTTCATTAATAACCGTTACTATAAATCAAATATAGGACAACGCCTTATACCGATTTAATAGTAGCATTTAATCTTTCTAACTCCTTGATGAAATCAATTGAGATTGATAACCTCAACACAACGATTTCGGTTTAACCAACAAAAATAATCCTTCTTAAGTTTATTAACCACGACCGTGCATTAATAAACCGAAGTTACTTACTTGTGAAACCATCAACGATTAACCATCGGTTCGTTGATCGTTTCTAGTAATAATTAATATATGAAACAAAACTAGTTGATCATTTAAGTAATGTTCAAAATATTAATATGAAATATGAGTAGGAATTAATTAATATTCAAGGAAGAATATTATTAAAGAAGATGAATCCTACTATAATTAATATCAAGATGTTAACTAATTGTAATCTTAGCAACACTCCCCAACATTAATATAGAGGAAGAAAATATCATTCTAACTACTGTCATCTTAGCAACACTCCCCAACATTAATATAGAGAGAGTATTAAGGAAAGAACTATTAATTAATATTCAAGGAAAGAAGTTAAGAAAATAACTCACAACCTTAATAATCAAGAAGCTTCAAGAGGAACACCAAAAATGGAAGTTTAGCTCCTCATTTGGAGACTAAACATAACTAGAAAAATATAAAGAAATGCTATTCTAAACTGAGTTTAAGAGTATGGAAGAAGGGATGATTTTATTGTGAAGGAAAGGGGTGTATTTATAGGCTTTTGGGAGCTGCAGGGGCTGATACCCGACCGGGTATATAGGATACCAGATCGGGTATCTTAGGAAATTTCCCGGAAAGCCACATTTCTGGACATACCCGGTCGGGTATGTCGGTTTACCCGATCGGGTATGTGACAAATCTTTACGAAAATTTGCTCCCACGATCCTTTGTTCCCGGATTTGATTTGGACAACTGAATCAAGCAAATACCCGATCGCGTATTGCCTATACCCGACCGGGTATAAGAGTAATTTTTCCAAATCGAAATCTTTCTTGTCTCCTTGCACTTTCCTTGATCTTTTGAGGTCCAATCTTGATCCCTTGGATGAGCTTTGACCTGTTTAGCTCAGAATAGTCCTAATCTAAACAAACTACAAATAATTATTAAAACAAAGTATTACATCAAAAATGTGTAATTTCCACAACTAGAACTAATAAAAACTAGTTAAAAATACAAACATACATGATAGGAAATTCACACCATCAGTAATGTGTACACAAAATTTATACACATTTGTCACACATTTGTACGTTATTTTCTATGCACACGAACAATTGATGCATGAGTTGCCTGTGTGCACATTCTCTGTGCGCACGGACAATAATTACCCATAAGTGTGTGCCAAATATCCATGTATAATGTTTCTATTACAAGTAGAATTTTTCTATTACTATACTAACTCGATAACTAGTGAAATGAGCAATAGTATAATCACAACCCATACGCAGTTGAAGCTAGGTGGCGCCTTATCATACGCTCGATTGCTGTTTGGACCCAAGCTTAGGGAACAATTATATGGACAAAGGTATTTATCGACTACATGAACACTTTTTCGATCAAAATACCAATCTCCAAATAATTTTGAAATTGTCTGCAAAAATTCAGACCACACAATTCAGTCAGTCAGTATGTAACTAATGTAAGAGCTAAAATTCACAAATGCATAAATTATTGCACTTTAATGGAATTGAAAATATCTCTCACAGTTCACTAGCTAAAACAAATGGGCTAATGGAGAGTCAACAAATTTATTTTATTCCGTTCTCCACATTTGATTACATTCTTTTTTCGTTTGTTTACAATTTTATATTGAGCTTGTAGCCTTGTTTAGTTTTTTTGTGTGTCAGTTTTTTATCATTAAATGTATAAATTTTGTTACTTTGTCTTCCCTATTTCAGCTCCCTATGTAGTACCATATTAATTCTTTCAATTCTCCTTTTCTGTTCGTCGCAAAATAATCTTCATTTGCAATAATTCGTGATGCATATTGTTTCTTTCTTCTCTAATAACTGTTACCACACTCTTAATCTACGTGCAAAAAGTATTTGAAAAATTAATATAAGACGGTTAAAATTATTTGCCCTAATAAATTTAAGGATAGGCTGGAAAAGGAATTGAGCACAGGCTGTACTGAATAAATACCTCATTACTCCCCTCTACAACCATGTCATTATTCTATCTATAATTTGATTGTTGCTCATGTGTTGTAGGGGATGTAATCAGTAGTCCTCTTGATAAGGCACGGCTTGGCTTAGGCAATACGCTCAGAAATTCTGACCTGAGGTCTGGATTGAAATAAAAAAAATGTACCCATCAATATCAGACAAATTATATATTGACATGAGTTTTAATTAATAAAGTATATGATATGTTTAAAATTCTTTCTATACGTACTTAGCTTTTTAATGTCTGAAAATAATAATATACCATCCCTGTTTTAGAAAGATACGCTATACTTGAATAAACAAACTATCCAAAAAACTTTGTACTTCTGTATTATGCATTTTCATTTTTCTATAAAAATATTATTGAATAAAGTTTTTACAAAATTAAAGGTCAAATATGACAGACAAATCTTAGCTTTCTAAGATGAAGGTAGATTTTTTTAACAAATTAGAAACATTTCCAATGTCTATGGACTATGTATATAAACTTGTTTGTAGTTGTGTGTATAAAAAGTATCCGGTAATACAAACCTTGCAAGGTTTTGATAATATCATTAGGACAGTTCTGTGCATCGAGACAGTTTCTTATAGTATCATTTCCTGGAAAGGTCCATGTTACCTGGGAAATAAATGTATCTCAAGTTTATATATAGATGGCAGATCATATCAGGCCGGCCTGACGGGAGTCGGGAACCGCCGTCCGACCGAGGTTAACATTGAAAGAAGGTTAAAGTAGGATTTTACAACAAAATTATACAACAAAAAAATGTTAATTTCAATTTGTGATTGTTCAAAATGGTATGTGTAACTTTGATTTGGGTAAGAGTAGTATCAAATTAAGAGGCCGTTTGGCAACCCTCATTTTCGGCTTATCAGGCTTATCAGCCAACTTTTTTATCAAACACGTAAATTTTGCTTTCGCACGCTGAATTGTGTAATAAGCCGAAAAAGTAAGGTTGGAGTTACTTTTCTGGCTGTATTGGCTGAAGTTACTGTAGATGACCATTTTAGCTATTTTACATATAATTTTTTCTTTATTTTATTAATAAAATATATTTTAAAAATATTTTTTTCTTGTATCAGCAGAATCAGCCAATGCAGCCACTTCAACCAGAACTTCATAAATTTCAGCAGAATCAGCCAGAACAGCTGATTTTCGTGCTGCCAAACGGGCTCTAAATAAACTCGATCAATAGAGTGGAGCTGAAGTGTGACCTGAACTGTATCGAAAGCAGACATTAAGAAGAAGATGGGCGTTTTGATATGTTCCTGCACATTTTGAGCAAAGAAGCACTGCAAAAGTCCACAAATAAAGATTGATTATTTGAAGTGTCTGGGGCCGGAAAAACAAAAGGTTAGGTCTAGTAATTATTACACAAAATTAAAGTCCATCCATAATATACGAAGTATTACATTTAATGAATTATAATTAACCTATATCTAAACTTCCTACAACCTACACATACTTATGCATATCCTTTCAACGGCTAATCGATGCACATGTCGCTCCTCACATTTTCTCATCTTTATCATTTGTTATGCCGCATGCTAATGTAAGTGACTTGTGTGTGTATTATATTGGGGAGTTTTTATCTAAATATTACTAAAATAAAGATAATTTCTAAAAATGTGACTACATTATTATTAGGACAAAAATATGACCAAAAAGGTCATATTCATGTCATTAACAGATTTTAATGTCACTCTCCAATTTTAAAGTCACTATCGTCACCGTCGTTGTCACTGTCGTTACCGCCCGTGTCACTGTAGCCGTCACTCGTGTACCTGTAGCCGCCGCTCATGTCACTGTAGGCGCCACCCGTATCACTATAGCCGCCACCGTGTCACTGCCACAGTGACACCACCACAGTGACACTGCCGGCGACGCCATCCTTTTACCACCGCCGCACCGCTTCATCCAATGAGCACCGTTTAGCTCCACCGGCGACCACCGGCCCCACGCCACAGCACCCCAACCCATTCCACCTACCCAGGTGTCCACCACTCCGCTTGCACCCTCCCCAATTATCCCCAACCCCTCCCTTGTCACAGCCCCACCCCAACACCAGCGCACATCACCCCGACACTGACGACCGCTACCTCCGACCACCACACCCCATTCCACTCCCCTGCATCACCATCCCTCAGCCCCCAGTAGCCCCCACCCCTCACAATTGAAGAATTCAATTGCAACAACCATGAAGCTTCCTCCATGTGCAAGAATGACAAAGGGAGCTTCCTCAAAGTTTCCTCATGTTTAATCCCACCTTCCTCCCACCTTCATAGTACCTAGTTTTGGTGCTATAAATAGAGAGCTTGGAGAGTCTTTCTATCATCAAGTAAATTAGAATAGATCATCATAGCACAACCAAGAAGAGTTGTGAATATCCTTGAGAGATATGTGAGGTGTTGTTTTGAGAGTTTTTAATTAGAGCTTGTATGTCTCTTCTTTCTATTCTTGAAAGTAATAGAAGTGTTTTTCTCTCATATTAGCACGATCCTGTTATTCCCAACAAGTGGTATCAGAGCCTGGCTGAGCTTTTGGTATTTTTCCCCAGAATTTTCGGATAAAATTCTACTGTCTGAAAATTCATGTTTTTCAGTTTTGCTCGGAATTGTAATCTGAATACACCGTTGGATTCGTCTCGTCGAGACGAGAAAAACTGGTATTTTTGGTAATTTTTAGGCCACCAGAAGCCACCACACGCGCCGCCTACGCGCCGGTGGTGAGGAGCTCGCTGACGTCATCCCTGACGTCATTCTGCACGCAGGCCAGAGGTTGAAGACAGCTGACGTCATCGCTGACGTCATCAGCCAGTCAGAGCTGTGTCAACGACACATCAGTGCCACGAGTGCACATTCGCCACATCATCAGCTCACTGCCATCTTCCACCAGCGCCCAGTCAGCTGCCACGTCAACGCCCAGTTAGCGCCACGTCATCTGCCACGTCATCTGCCACGTCATCTGCCACGTCACCGGTCAGTTTTTAAATTTTGAAAAATTGCAGTTAGGTCCCTCAATTTTTGGAAAATTATAATTTCCACCTATAATTTTTCGAAAATTGTATTTTGACCCCGAAAGTGTCTACCCACCATTTTTGGCCGTTCCGGACGCAACGGTGCTGCCCGTTTTTCAAAATTCTGCTCCGATTTTTCTCAAACAGATTATTAAAATTATTTAGAAGGTGAAAATGACCTTTGACGAGTCAACTTCATCTTCCGGAGCTATGATTATGCTCACGGCTACCAACTACACGCTATGGAAACCTCGGATGGAAGATTTCCTTAGCTGTAAAGACCTTTTTGATCCAATAGAGATGAAAGGTATTAATCCTGACCCACCCAAATCAATAGAGTGGAAGAAAATAAATAGAAAAACTATTGGTCAAATCCGTCAATGGATTGATCATAGTGTCTTCCACCACGTTGCACAAGAAACCGACGCTTATGCCCTTTGGAAGAAGCTAGAAGATATGTACCAGGCCAAGACCGCCAGGAATAAGGCCCTACTGTTGAGGCGCCTTGTCAATATGAAGCTCAAAAGTGGAACTTCTATTGCCGAACATACTAGTCAATTTCAGAGTCTGGTAAATCAACTATCTTGTGTAGAAATGCCACTTGGAGATGAAATGCAATCTCTACTACTTCTTAGTTCCTTTCCTGATAGTTGGGAGACACTAGTTGTTACTCTCAGCAACTCAGCCCTAGATGGCAAACTTACCATGTCTGTGGTGAAGGATGCATTGTTCAATGAGGAGGCAAGGAGGAAAGACATGAGCACAGATCAGACTCATGCTCTTGTGACGGAGAATCGAGGAAGATCACAAGGAAAGCAACAAAGAAACAGTAGAGGAAAGTGGCAAAGCAGAGGCAAAAGTCGGGGGAGATCATCAGATGGCCGGAAACCTTCTTATACCTGCCACCATTGCGGTATAGAGGGTCACATGAAGAAGAATTGCTACAAATTGCTAGAGGAGCGAGGCAAGAGCAATTCTCAAGCGAAGAACAAGGGTGGTGAAGCGCTCATCACAATCTCAGGTGATGTGGCGTATTGTACTAGCAATGATGAAACATGCCTACACGTATCAAGAGAGGACACTGAATGGGTGGTAGATACTGCAGCATCCTACCATGTTACTCCCCACAGGTACTACTTCACAACTTACAAAGCTGGAGACTTTGGAGCAGTAAAGATGGGCAATTCCAGTTCCTCTGGAATAGCGGGAATCGGTGATGTACAAATAAAGACGAGTACTGGGAGCACAATCACTTTGAAGGATGTCAGACATGTCCCAGACCTTCGGCTCAATCTCCTATCTGTGGTATGTCTTGACGAACAGGGGTATGACAACCACTTTAACAGGGGCACCTGGAAAATGTCAAAGGGCGTTTTGACAATCGCTCGAGGACATGTTTGTGGCACATTGTACAAAACCCATTTGAGGATTTGTATGGATAGCCTCAACATTGCAGAGGAGACTTCTCAGAATCTGTGGCACCTGAGGCTCGGCCACATCGGTGAGAAAGGGTTGACTACCTTGATGAAGAAGAACCTTATCAACATTGACAAGAATTCTGCACCGGGTCCTTGCAGTCATTGTCTATTTGGTAAGCAACATAGAGTATCATTTAGTTCTACTTCAACTAAAAGAACGGAGTTGTTAAGTTTGGTACACTCCGATGTCTGTGGTCCTTTCGAGGTAGAATCAATCGGTGGAAGCAGATATTTTCTGACTTTTATCGATGATGCTTCTCGGAAAGTGTGGGTGTATTTCCTGACGACGAAGGATCGGGTCTTTGAGAGCTTCAAGACATTTCACGTCTTGGTGGAACGTGAAACAGGAAACAAGTTGAAATGTCTCCGATCTGATAATGGAGGCGAATATACATCCAAGGCGTTCGATGCATATTGCAGAGAATATGGCATTCGACATGAGAAGTCAGTACCACGCACCCCTCAGCACAACGGTGTTGCTGAAAGAATGAACCGGACTATCATGGAGCGTGTCCGGAGCATGCTAAATGTGGCTAAACTTCCAAAGTCATTTTGGGGAGAAGCAGTCAACACCGCATGCTATCTTATCAACCGATCACCTTCAGTACCACTGAACTTTGAAGTTCCAGAGAGGCTATGGACAGGTAAGGATCCTACATACTCACATCTTAGAGTTTTTGGTTGTTCATCATATGCACATGTATCCAAAGAGCTCAGACATAAGCTCGATGCAAGAACTATCCCATGCATTTTCGTTGGCTATGGAAATGAAGAGTTTGGATACAGGTTATGGGATCCTAAGGAGAAAAAGGTGTTTAGAAGCAGGGACGTTGTGTTCCATGAAGATTTGACAATAGAAGACATTGAAAAATCCACAATGTCTCGGAAGTCAAATGAGGGTGTTCAAGTTTCAAATGAAGCACCTGAATTGTTCTTGAGAAACAATGACGAAGTGCATGAAAACAACTCAGAAGCAGAAGAGGATGAGGAGACAGAAGAGAGTACAGAGCAAGGGGAGTCACAACCCACCTCGCCAGGCACAGATGATGGTAGCTCTTCTGAGATGGTTCCAACTGTTCGTAGATCTGAACGAGGCCATATACCATCGAAAAGGTACACATCATCTGAATATCTTTTGTTAACTGAAGATGGAGAACCGGAGAGTTTTCAAGAAGCTGTGTCTCATAAGGATAAAGAAAAATGGCTAGTAGCAATGCAGGATGAGTTAGAATCTCTGCAGAAAAATCAAACTTATGAGATTGTAGAACTTCCTAAAGGGAAGAAGGCACTGAGGAACAAATGGGTGTTCAAGCTGAAGAAGGATGCAAGCGGACAAGTGGTGAAACACAAAGCTCGGTTGGTTGTCAAAGGATTCCAACAGAAGAAGGGAATTGACTTTGATGAGATCTTTGCACCAGTTGTCAAGATGACCTCAATCCGAGTTATACTTGGCTTGGCAGCAAGTATGAACTTAGAGCTTGAACAGATGGATGTGAAGACAGCATTTCTTCACGGAGATTTGAAAGAAGAAATCTATATGCAGCAGCCGGAAGGTTTTGAGAGCTCAAATGATAACTTTGTGTGTAAGTTATCTAAAAGTTTGTATGGCTTGAAGCAGGCACCAAGGCAGTGGAATAAGAAGTTTGACTCATGCATGAAGAGTCAAGGCTACAAGAAGACTACTGCAGATGAGTGTGTATACATCAAGAAACTCCCAGACGGTACTTTCATTGCTCTTCTACTATATGTAGACGACATGTTGATCGTTGGGAAAGATGCAGTGATGATAAACCAGCTGAAGAAAGAACTCTCTAAGTCTTTTGATATGAAAGACTTAGGACCGGCTCAACAGATTCTTGGGATGCAGATCACTCGAGACAGGAAGAATCGCAAGTTATGGCTTTCTCAAGAGAAGTACGTTGAACGAGTACTTGAGAGATTCAACATGAATGATGCCAAACCAGTTAGTGTTCCACTTGCGAATCACTTCAAGTTGAGCAAAAGAACATGCCCTACATCCAAGGAAGAGATCGGGGAGATGTTAGCAGTTCCATATTCTTCGGCAGTTGGGAGTTTGATGTACGCCATGGTATGCACAAGGCCAGACATCGCACAAGCAGTGGGTACAGTAAGTCGTTTTCTCTCTAACCCTGGGAAGGAGCATTGGGAGGCAGTCAAATGGATTCTCAGATACTTGAAAGGTACCACGAAGTTATGTCTTTTTTACGGAGGAGCTGATCCAAACTTGGAAGGCTACACAGATGCTGATATGGCCGGAGATATTGATAGTAGAAAGTCTACTACAGGATATATCTACACTTTTGCAGGGGGAGCTGTTTCTTGGCAATCAAGATTGCAGAAGTGTGTCACTTTATCTACAACAGAAGCAGAATACATTGCTGCCGCTGAAGCAGGTAAGGAAATGTTGTGGCTAAAGCGCTTTCTCCAAGAACTTGGGATCCACCAGAAAGAGTACCAGGTACATTGTGACAGTCAGAGTGCTCTAGACTTGAGCAAGAACTCTATGTACCATTCTCGTACAAAGCATATTGATATTCGGTATCATTGGATACGGGAGACGATTGATCAACAACTGTTGAGACTAGTGAAGATCAATACAAAGGAGAATCCATCAGACATGCTGACAAAGGTGGTGACACGAGATAAGCTAGAGCTATGCAGAGACATAGTCGGGATGCTTGTTTTGAATATGCCTGGAAGGGGAGAATTGAAGAATTCAATTTCCAGGACATATCCAAGTACAAGCAAATTGAAGAATCCAATTGCAACAACCATGAAGCTTCCTCCATGTGCAAGAATGACAAAGGGAGCTTCCTCAAAGTTTCCTCATGTTTAATCCCACCTTCCTCCCGCCTTCATAGTACCTAGTTTTGGTGCTATAAATAGAGAGCTTGGAGAGTCTTTCTATCATCAAGTAAATTAGAATAGATCATCATAGCACAACCAAGAAGAGTTGTGAATATCCTTGAGAGATATGTGAGGTGTTGTTTTGAGAGTTTTTAATTAGAGCTTGTATGTCTCTTCTTTCTATTCTTGAAAGTAATAGAAGTGTTTTTCTCTCATATTAGCACGATCCTGTTATTCCCAACAACAATAGCCCCAACCCCGACCACCCCTTGCACAACCGCATTGCACCACACCCCACCCCTAGGCGTCGCACCTGCAAATGCCGTACACCTCCGCTACAACCCCGCCCCCAATTTTCCGCACCCAGCCTCAGCCCCAAACCTAATCCCGATCCCCTCCCCTGCCCAAGGCCCGTGCTTCACTCCATCTCCCATGTTCTGCCAATACTCCGCAACAAAATTAAATGCCGTCCCCAATTGCGATTCCGCAGCAGAACGCCATCCCCGATTGCACCTCCGCCGCAGAATATCGTCCCCAATCGCGCCTCTGCAGCACAGTTGGTGTGTGGGGTCAACTAGGTCTGTGAGTTCGGGGACGGAGGAGCGATGAAGACAGATCGATCCTTGCTGTGAGATTGACGATGGAGGTGCGATGGAGAAGGGAGACCATGCGTAAGGAGGAGTTTCATTTCCTTGAGTGCACCAAGAAGGAAACGGGAGGCCACTGGGCAAAGATATTGAGCGCAGGAAGAAAGAATTAAAACGGAAGGCCCGAGTGAGATGTTTTAGCTTTGGTCAGTTTTTTGTCAAATAGGAATTTACTCATATTTTTATCTACTAAAAGTGAGGAGTAATATTTGTGTCATTATTTCTTATATTGGTTCTTATTAAGATGAAATCGTTTGACTTATGAGAAAGAACGCGTTGGTCGAATGACAGCCCAGTACCTAGCGCCTAGGCCTCTAGACGGGAACTAATCACAAACATAGAAATTATGTTTCTATTAATATTATACAAAAATATGATAGGTTATATTGTGTTTGTGTGTGTAAAAAATATACCCACACATTTTGGACAATTATTCTAACTATATATTCCCTTTGTCCCAAATTATTTTGCAAAGTCAACATTTTTTGGTCAACTAATAATTAAAGTCAATCCTCCTTGTCGATAATTAACTTAATTTTTAATAATTAAAATTTATATATTCAGAAACTACATTAAAATCTCCTCAAAATTGCAAACTCCAAATTAGAATATAATTAAAAATTGACATCTTAATTAAGTAAATAAAATGAAACTGTTTAACCAAGAAAAGTTAAATTTGCAAATCAATTTGGAACGGAGGTAGTATTATATTTGTATATAATTTATAGTTAGAAAATATAATTATCATAGTTGGGTATTAATTATTGATAAAAAAAAATTAATGTGACGAACCTTTTTGAGATCGATGGATTGAGTCTATAATCATAGACGAATCATGTAGACATTATACTACATACGTAATTAGTTTGTACAGTACTCACATTGGTTCGCACAATCAAATATTTATTTCTGTATAATTTAGAACAATTGTTGATTAAAAATGCTTAACGCATAATTTAATTACCAAATGTGGACTTAATCTTGACGTGCATGCTTCCGGCAACGCCTTAATTGATCCCTGCATCATACAGTAAACCATTTATAGCTCTTCTGATCTTCACATATATTCAAATATCCAAAAGAAACTTATTGATAATTAATACGGAGTATTGACTATTGAGTAGACTAATTGATACGGAGTAAATACGAATGAAATGCCGTACTGCTGAAGAAACATGAAAACGTTCCGAATTAATCGTCTGGTTTTGACCTTCACACAGATTAAGAAAATGAAGTTGATTTCATACGGGAGTGACACTGTTTGGCACTGTGGCGACACTGTTTGGCACTGTAGCGACACTGTTTGACACTGTTTTACACCGTTTGACACTGTTTTGTATAGATTTGTTTATCAAATAAGGAAAAATTCAATGTAGGACAATTATTTCGGGACGAACCGAAAAGGAAAGCAGGACAATTATTTCGGGACGGAGGGAGTAAGAAAGATGAAATTAAAATGTACTCAGTATAAGATAGAAGAGTAGTATGTATTACAAATGCCATAAGTTTTTGGAAGGTTGGTGTAAAAACTTCTCCTGCATAGGCGAACTTTTTCCTGCATGAAATAACAAACACAAATAAATATTTTAAGATCCTAACCTTGGTTAAATAACTTCAAATAAGAAACGGAATTTATATTACGGAGTACAAAAATAATCTTACGAAGGAAAGAAATATCCCGCATCCGAAAAGCATTTTACTCTCGTAGCCTTGGGTAAGAGATCGCGGAATCCGTCACAATGAAGTGAAACCGCAACTCCTCCAGCCGAGCCACCGACTAGGAGAGCCTACAATAATATAATTAATGATGGAGCACATACAGATTAGTAGCACAAATACAATTCTTAAATATTAGCATACCCCATTGATTAATTGCACAATTCTTTCTCAAATTTGTGCACTTTAAAACTAATAGTTTTAGGTACCACGGCTTAAAGTTATCCTTCACTCTACTTATCCTTCCATCTCTGTTTATTACAGTTTAACTAAATAATACAAAAAAATACTTCAATTCTTCTCAAAACACTTTTAGTTTGTTTTTTCAATATAATTACCAAAATCTCTAATCATTTTGGTTGCACAGTATATATTACCAAGTATTTCACTAGGAACATGCCGTATAGGTAATTTTTACTCTTATAACAAAGCTTCATTAGTTTAATCGTGTCATCATTGTTTCGTCAACCGTATAGGTCAGTCATTTTTTCATCGGTTCATCATTGTTATTTTTTAATCGTGTCGTCATTTTTCATAAGGGGCTCACACCATGGTCGTGGATTGGTTTGGCTCTGATACCATGTTAAGATCTGAGATTCCATCCTAAAAGGTCAACCCGATAGGACGAGTAGCTCATGTCTTAATATAGCACTTTGTTGATTCAAACTTTTCCGGTGCGGGATTCTAACAGCCTTACGTTTTCCGCCATTTTCATCCCCAACTTGTGAAGCACCTCTTGCATAACTGCCTTGTAAATCCGTGCTCCTCTGAAATAGAGGGGGGTGCCCTGCATTCAGAAAATTAGTCTTATATAAACGGACCATTTAATTACTCACTAAAAGTAATTGAAACTTAGTCATCGGAAAATTTAATAAATACAAATAAAGAAATAAATAATAAATACTGTAGTAAATAATACTCCCCCTGTCCTTAATTAACTTTACATTTTTCTTTTTGTGTCGTCTCATATTAAACATTACACTTCCTTATTTGCCTTATTTGGCAAACAAATCTACACCAAACAGTGCAAAACAGTGTCAAACAGTGTCAAACAGCGTACTCTACAGTAAAGTAAAATTTATTTCGTTAATATATGCAAAGTCAAAGTGTAAAGTTTAATAAGGACCCCAGAGGGAGGGAGTATGTAGTACCTAGTACTAAATAATACTCCGTATCACCCATTACCCATACCTTGTATTCATAGATTTTCTCTGAATCTGATGTGAATGATGAGCCATCACAATACCGAATCACAACCCTATTCCAGTTGAAGAAATCTAATAATTGAACATTGTCACATGATTATTTGTTAGTTATGTAATTAAAGCACATATAATGATTTTTTTTTGAACCGAAGCACATGTAATGAATTAAAAACACTGCTTAATTTATTAATTAAATACAAATAATTGGTCTTCATATATGAAATAACCTGGGTTGTCCTTTTTCTTGTTGCTCAATATGTCAACAAATGAGTATGGAGGTGCATCTAAGGTGATATGTCTACTAGTAGCATATGACAAACAATACTCAAGATTGTTGCACCATGCTCCTCCCTGAATCCAAATGAATTCAAGAAATGATTCACAAGGAAAATGAAAGTTTATCTAAACAATTTATAACATATAGACTTGTTATTACATAGTAGCAGTGGAGGAGCTGGGGGGCAAGGGGGGGGGGGGGGGGGCAAGCGCCCCCGCTCCGACTAATTTTTTTTACTAGTATTACTTATAATATGTTTCTTGCCCCGGATTCTTTTTTAATTTTAAAAACAATAAGTACAACTTAAGATTATTTTAAGATGAAGTGTTAAAATAAATAAAAAAGTATTTTCAGAAAAAGTAAAAAAAATGAAATATAGAATAAAAGGGGATTAATGTATGTAATACATTTGGCATCCCAATTTGCCAATAATCCGGAGTAGCTCAGTGGAGACAGGTAACACGCTCCCTTCGTATCACCCGTGTTTGAATCCCCCCCAAGACGGATTAAGTCAAACTTGTTTTGCTTTTCTTCCGTCCCAATTCTTCCAATTTTATTTTCTTCAGCCTACAACTCGTCCCACACCGGATAAAATAGAGGATTCACTCCTCATTTGAGCCTATATAATCGCTCCTTCATAGTTGATAAAGATTAAGTTGCTAGTAAAGCTTGAGTGCAAGTATTAGCTACAATATAAACAAATATTGAATACCCATTCGGTTTTTGTGAAAAAATCGAATAACCGGACCGAAAATTCGGTGTCCGAAAAATTGGGTCCCAACTTAGATCGGTTCGGTTTCGGGTTATAGAATATACGAAACCGAAAGATCGGTTCGGTTCGGAGATAATTTTACTCGGTGGAAATGGAGAATCGCTTTAGTGAGTCAAATACAGATTTACTCGCTTGTTTAGCTTGCCTTGATCCTAAAGATAATTTTTCCAATTTCTGTGAGTCAAAGCTACTCAGTCTTGCGGAGTTATATTCATCTGATTTTTCAGCTGTTGAGCAAATGGAGCTTAAAGAACAACTCCAAGTTTGGATATATGAGATGAGAGGAAATGAAGCATTTTCCACTTTACAAAGTATTGGTGAAGTGTCTAAGAAGATGGTTGAGCTTACAATTCACAAATCTTTTCACTTGGTCTATCGTCTTATTGAGTTGGCTCTAGTGTTACCAGTTGCAACAGCCACAGTTGAAAGAGCTTTCTCATCGATGAATATTATCAAGACAGATCTTCGCAATAAGATGGGAGATGACTATCTTACGGATTGCTTAGTATGCTACATCGAAAGAGACATTTTTCAAGCAATTGATAATGAAGCTATTATGCAGCATTTTCAAAATATGAAAACTCGTATGATTGATTTGCCTAGGTTGCAGAAGTAAATCAAGTAGTATGTAATGAACTATAATTTTTTGTTAAATTATTACGCTATTGTTGTTCTAATTATATTTTGGACACGAACTTTAAAATTTTTAGTCTTTGATTTGCCCCTCCTTGGACAAACCTCTGACTCCGCCACTGCATAGTAGTATATACTTCCTTCGTTCTTTTTTAGTTGCAACAATAACCATTTTTAATTAAATTTACCGGAAGATAGACTAGCCAATTTTGCACTCCGCTTCCGTAGCCATGGTCAAAGTAGTAGGATGCTGGCTTTCCAGTCAAACAAACTTAAAAAAAAAGATCGAGAAGTTGTGTTTAATACGCTATATATACATGATAACAAATTGCTAAGGAATTCAAAAGTTATTAAGAAATTTAAACACAACCTAACTAGCTAGCTCGGGTCCGAGAGTATACAAACGCATAAACTAATACGTAGTAATACATTACCAGCTCCGGGATCACTGCGTACTACAGTGGCATTCACAACATAGTCACCACTACCTGAAAATTTTAAAATTTCCTGTCTGGTTAAAAATCCAAAAGATATATATTATAAACATTAATTACCTAGCTAATTGTATAATGAAAATATAAACACTAGTTACCATCACAGTTGCTGAAGAGAAAGCATGCAAATAAGAGTGACTCTAGTATGAGAAAGAGAGACATTTTAACCACACTTTTTAAAAGATGGAAAACTAGCAACAGACTGATTTGAGCCGAGGGATCGAATGAGATATATATATATATATATTTGAGGTGAGTTTTGTATACTCGAATGATATATATATATATATATATATATATATATATATATATATATATATATATATATATATATATATATATATATATTTGATGTTTTTTACGGATGGGCGTAACTTAACTGGCAGATAGGAGATGCCACAAGGCGTAAATCTCGGTTTCGAATCACGACAATTACGATAAGAGGTTATCATGCTAAAAATGTATAGAACATCTACAAGTATCATGGTCAGAGTCTCACTCTATATCTACCGGCATATGATTAAAATCCAACTTACAACATCTCATCTAGCTATTTTATCGATGTTGGGAAACTCTCAAGGATGGGGTCGTCCTTTTTTTCTACTTCCTCCAGTTCCTATTAAAGTTCTCAGTTTGACTTCACACAGATTAAGAAAATAAATTTGACTTTACTGTGGAGTGCACTGTTTGACACTGTTTGGACACTGTTTGGCACTGTTTGGCACTGTTTAGACACTGTTTGACACTGTTTTGTTTCCTACAATGGAAGTGTGAACTTAAATAAGGGACATCCCAAAAAGGAGAGTGAGAACTGTAATAGGAACCGGAGGGAGTAATTAAGATGGTCGCTATCAGTACGCATCCGTACGCATGTGTCATGCTGGCATGAAAGTCTAAAGTATGAATTCAATGCAAGTAACTTGAGAGGGTCCATAGTTGGCAGATTTTAAATTTGGGCTATTTCTGGTGCATATACGAAATTTCTACACAAATTATAGATAACCTCTATATATATATATATATATATATATATATATATATATATATATATATATATATATATATATATATATATATATATATATATATATATATATATAAGTAATTGCTCACTTTTCTAAAAAAAAAAACTGCTGTGCACACGGAAAATTAGGAGTGTGTATAATTTGCATGTGCATATTGACAATTCATTTAAAACAAGTTTGCAATTGCTTGTATATAGACAAGGTACAAATTTTGTGTACAAATGTAATTTTGCTTAGATTTTTAGAGTAGTGTTGTTACAATGGGGGTAAGTTGATACAGCATAATTACTCCTAGTTAAATAATTTAAAAAATAACTCATACTTATGAATTTGAATCATATTTTACTCTTATTTTGAGAATTCGGGAATGTCATATTATCATTTTATACCACTTGTAGGTTTTGTACTTTAATTTTGAATGAGTGTTGTATATACTCGAGGAAATTTTTCAATATAAGTAAAACATGATAAAAGGGTAGTACTTATTAAGAGACGCCCCAATGGTTTGTGCCCATCAATTGTATGGGACATTTGTAAATATCTGGGTCCAGAACCTCACTCGTTATTGATCAATTTGAGATTAAAATTCAAATTATATTCTTCAAATTAATTGTCTTTCCAGTGTGGGGAGTCGTCAGGAATATAATGCGGTGTCATATATGTTTTTATTTACAAAATTCATCTTATATGTATTCATAAAAGTCTTTTGCTCTCGTAAATAATAAATATTGTACATACACACACTCACGCGCTATGATATTTTCCCAATTTAGCAAAACAAGTTTTCGATCAGTAATTCTCTGTTTGTACATTGTCTGTCCCTCGCAAAAAAATTATCTGTCCACAGAAACCTCTATAGAATTGTCTGTGGACAAATAACTAATTTGTCTACGGGTTACGGGCAAATGTACAAAAAAGACGTACACATTTTGCGTCCACCTCGCAAAACCGTTCTTTTTAAAGGTAAAGCCGGATGCCCATCACATCGTGCCGTCCTTGCTGTTCTCATATCCTATGTAATAGTGTAGGATAAATTAAAGAGGATCTGTACAGGCTAATAGAAGTGTTTTTTGATTTCTTTATACTCCGTATTAAACTTAATTATATGAAAGCTAATGAATAGGTTTGAATTTAGATATATACTTCCTCCGTTCCATAAAAGTTACAATATTGGAATTTCTGCACTATTCACACACCTTATAACTTTGACTACGATTTTCTAATAATATATATAATAAAAATATTATGTATAAAATATTAATAAATTTGTATTAGTGTAAATTTCCAATATGTTAACTTTTTTTAATGTTTACTAATACGTAAATAAATATAATTACAATCAAAGTTGTGCGTTGGCAAACGTGAAAGTCAAACTGTTGCAACTTTTATGGAACAGAGGATAGTATATATATATATATATATATATATATATATATATATATATATATATATATATATTGTAACAATGGGAGTACATATAAAAAATTATAGCACTAAAATATACGTATGTAGTACTCCTATTCAAGTGGTGGTTCTCTTAACCGGTATTTACCTCAGCAGTATTTTCGGAAATACTTCTAACTTGACCCTAATTTGATAAATATTTTTATATTTAATATTACTTTGGAAAAAACTCTTATTATGGAGTATTTATTTGGTGAATTTATTGATCAAATATAAATCAAAGCTATAAAGTCATTTAAATTCGTGAAGCTTCATAGATCTAATGGTTAAGCATCTTAAAATTCTTAATAGGGAGTGGAGAGTAAAGAAAAGGGAGTTTTCAAGATATTATTATTACCAAAATAAAACTTAGTTACTTATATATGAGAGTTTTTCCTGAAATTATGCTAAATAACAAATATTTAAGAAATTGGGATCGGTTTAATTAAAACTATTCTCCAAAATACTAGGGACTAGTCTTGTTTAATAGAGCCGCCATTTCACTTGGCGGCAAACAAAAAAACGACAACTCACGACTCAAGAAGAGAACAAGGATTATGGTTCCTAAATGAAATAAAAAAACACCTGTTTTATATATATATTTAATAAAATTAAGAAAAATCTGAAGACACGATTATTGGATCCTTGGAGGGCATTGATTACTCTTTTTATTTTATTTTAGACAAGATGTTGGATCATAATGTTTTGTTGATGACAAACAACTAATATTACTTTTGGTCTATAAATGATTGCAGGAAAGGAAGTCTAAGTTCTGCTCTGGAACAAGTCGTAGAACAGAATCTAGAACTGCCCGACAGATTCAAAATTGAAAATATTGATTTACTTAAAAAATCTTTTCTCTCCATTCAAGTTCGGTTTTGTCTTGCTAAACTAAAGAGAATTTTTTAGTAAGGAATTAATCAATGATCATACAAATAAAAGGATTTATTCTTTAAAGGAAAGTTATTTAAATCAAAGGCATTAATTAAGATATCTTTCTACAAAGCAAGTTTCCAAAATAAAAGAAGTTATTCAAAATTCAAATTGGATTTTTGTGCATTTCCACTCACAAGGAATGTTCTCTTAAGAAAAATATTTTCCTTCACACAAATATAAAGAATATCTTGTAATACCTATAAGGAAATTGAATAATTTCCATGCAAGTCGACCAATATATATATGGAGTAATGGAGATCCGAGCTATTAAAAGATAGTATATCAAGTCCTGATCTTGCACATATAAGAAGATCAAGCTCAAAGAAAAGAATCTGTTGAGTATGTGATTTTGTTGATGACTAACTCTGTAGGTGGAACGGCGGACAGAACCGCTCACTAACTCTGTTGATGACTAACTATGTATGAACAGTTGACTTACATGATGCATAAATTAATTGACAAGTGCTCTTCTTGTACGGGTGTATGAATTAATGTGCTTATATGACCACCTGTGTTAATAAGCTTCCTACTTGTCAAGATCGCTATTTTAAGCTAGAATGTCTTCATGCATATTCTATATGTACGTAACATGAATCATTTATTCTCTTTCCATGCATGACTTGGCATCCACTTATTAATATAGCTTAATGCTTTATTGAAAGTATCATTGCTTGCTCGAATATGATTGCATGGCTGAAATGCCTGAATATGAGGAGATTTAATAGTGGCCCGTTGCATGCTTATATATGTTAAGTGAATAATTTGTTTTCCGTAAATATGCGGTGGTATCTATTCTGTGCAATTGTTCGATTGATTTATGATCCGCATATGAGTTCGTTGTCCTTGAAAGATAGTTCTCTCAAGAACGAAGAATATTCAAATGATGACAAGGCAAGTCCCACGTTTGACAACTCGACCATCTATGGAAAGAAAACATCAACGGACTTGCTCCAAGCATCTTATCTGTGCCGAGATCAAGAAGAAGAAAGGTGCGCCTAAACGGAGAAGAAAATAGTCAAATAAGGAGAAATTATACAAGCACCCCATAGAAGACCGAGTACCTGCGGCAGTTCCATTAACAGTTCCATCCTTTATAATTTGATATCTTCTATTGTATTGAGGTTAAGAGGAACATTTGAGAATGCTTTCCTGGGTTGGGGTGTGAAGTGAGAGCTTTGTTGTAAAGTTGAGAGACTCCTTACCCTGGAACAACCGCTAGGATTATAATTGGACATAGAATAAATTAAGGGAGATTTAATTTATTCTAGGACACATTCACACACACACACACTTAATTGTTCGCTAAAAGATTAGTAACGGTTAGGGAGCCATAAGCTCGCTCGATTTGGCAATGATTTAAAATCTTGTCACATGAGAGTTCAACGATTGCCTAAATTATTTTACTTTACACCGCGAGAGCGGTAAGAACTTAGTATTGATCAACGATGCTCAATTAAAAAATTTTGATATGATTAAGCATGATCAGCCAGAAATCTGATCAGCCGAGTAGTTAGTACAATCTGTAAAAATGTCGATCGATACAAATATGGAAAACTTGAAATGAGCCAATAGAAAGGGTTTAAATAAAAATGTGAAAAGTATGGTCAACCACATTATAGACCAAGTAATACACTCTATTAAAAAGGAAAGGGGGGCAAATAAGCCCACATACTAACCAAAAAATGTCAAATAAGCCCTTATACAGGAGGCTCTGTCCGGCCGTCGTCATTTGGGGCGGTTCCCGGTGGAATTTATTGATGCAATTTTGTGAGCATATTATTCATTAAGTCTAGTTTACTCATACCAAATTTCAACTAAAACTTC